TCAAGTTCTTACTCTTTGTGGGGACACAGAGGGAGAGATTCTTAACCCAGTGGTGTGTGTGTTTTTTGTCTTGGTGGTGGGGAGAGGGTTGTTAGCAAAGGCTCCTTGGCCTCAACTAAAGTAAAACAAGCCAGTTGTAAGATAGAGTAGGACAGCTTTAAGTAGAGTGTGGCAGTGTAGAAATCAGCTTTGGGAAGGAGGAGGGAATTGTATTTCAAGAGTTCCTTCTGTTCCTGAAAAGCAGTGGTGTAGTCCATGTCCTGAGTAGCAGAGCAACAGAGAGGTGGTTTCTTCTGGGGGATCTTGGGAAGCAGTTGCTCTGAAGATGGGAAATGAGGTATTTTATTCATGAAAGAGAAACTGTTGTTTGCTGTGCCAATTTTCAGGAAGCTTGTTGTATCTAGTTCCTTTGTAAACTCTGATCACCTTTCTTTCCTTCTCCTTTCAGTGGTGATTTACAAATCAAGTTAAAATGTCCCCAGAAGTGGCCTTGAACCGAATTTCTCCAATGCTCTCCCCGTTCATATCTAGCGTGGTACGGAATGGAAAAGTGGGACTGGATGCTACAAACTGTTTGAGGATAACTGACTTGAAATCTGGGTATGTAACAGAACTAATTCGGTGAATGTACCAGAACCAATTTAACCTTTACCGAATAATAAACATTCCTTACCAGACTCATAAAAAGTGAACAGCACAGAAGTTCATAAAGTCATGACATCCCATGTTGATTCAGTTGGTTTTGTACAATTCTTGACATTTTATGTTTCAAGTTATTTTATTTGTGTTGTGGGCTATTGCTTTATGACCAGCATGTTCATGTCTTTTTTCTGGTTTATCTCTTTGTGAACAGTGTGCCATGGGGGTTTTTAGCAAGTGTGTTTTTCATTCACTGGCTTGTTTTCTTGTTGTGTTTGCTACAATCCAGCAACAAATGTATTCTGAATCTTACATCAGTTGGTAATCTCTCTTAATATGAAAATTATAATAATTAGCCAAAATGAGTCATTCCTCACAATGGGGTTAAAACTGTAAGCTCCTAGAAATGTTGCATTAAAAAAAACCATTTTATTTTGAAATAAACTTAGATTTACAGAAGAGTTACAAAAATACAGGAAATTAATGTTGTTACAGTATTAATTGTTCTACAGTCTTACTTGATTTTTGACACTTTTTCCATTAATGTCCTTTTTTTGGTCAAGGATCCAGTCCGATATACAAATTGCATTTAGTTGTCAAGTCTCCTTAGTTTCCCCAACTTGTGAAATTCCTCAGTCTTTGTCTATCATGACCTTGACACTTGCAAAGAGCACTGGCTAATTATTTTGTAAAATGTCCTTCCACATGGGCTTGTCTAATATTTTCTTTTCATTTGAGTGGGAAATGCATTTTTTTCCCAAGAATACTACAGATGTGTTGTTGTACTATTCTCAGTACATCAGGTCAGGGAATATATGATGTTCATATGGCTTTTTACTGGTATATTAACTTTGATCACTTGGTTAAGATTTCTTTACCAGGTTTCTCCACTGTAAAAGTTAACTGATTTTCTTTTTGTAATTAGTAAGTACTATATGTTGTGTAATGATGCTTTGAGACTTTGCAGATATCCTATTTCTCATCATACTTTTGTCCACTAATTTCAGCATCCATCGATGGTTCTTGCATGCAACTATTATTACTCTGGTGCTTGCCTAAGAGGGATTTTTCTATTTCTCTC